AGCACAATTTGAATACATTAGAATACAATACAACAAAGTTTAAAATAATAAATTACTCTGAATCGCGATTCTAATGAAAGCAGCAATCATACATGTAACCATTTATTGATGGGGGAGAAATGTTCGATATTATCCTGGAAAACAGTACATTTCGAGCACACAAACAAATGACAACAGATCAGCTAACGTACAGCTACAAGTTTTGTTGTTTTATCCTGCTAATCGTGGGTTACTTCCCGCATATCGCTATGCTATTTTCAGTTAATCCCGCTTCCCGCGATGCAATAAAATCCCGCGATGCAATAAAATCCCGCTTCCCGCCAATATTTCTCTTAAAATCCCGAATCCCACTTCAATTTTAGACGCATCCCGCAAAACCGGTACAGGCCCCTCTATTAAATGTTATCTTCGACCATGAGGATAATGGAATATTTTGGGCTGTAAGAAGCGCTGATAAAGTCATAATTGCTTACCTCTAGAATGAACACTAAAATGTTCATCGCCTTGATGAAAATCTGCAGAAAGAAATAAAGCCATATAGTTACTAAAAAAATGCTCATTTCTTTAAAAATTAATTCCTATTCACCCAGATTTGACAGATATTGTAAAAAGTTAAAAACTCAAATATTATTCATCCTCCCCCCAAATGTTCGAATGTACTATTCCCCGGAATTATGACAATCAGACACAAGATTTTGATTCAAGTTCACATAGATCTGTGCGAAAGACTGGGTTGAGCGAACTCAGGAGAATCCTGAGCAAGGGAAAGCAAGTGTCAAGAATAGTGTGCTATACATATGTAGTTGCTTTTGATTTTCAGCTATTAGTTTGAAAGCACGGCATATGTTTATTTTAATTGTACACTTCATAGTTACATTGATCCAATGCTCTCACTGTTTAACACTTGATTGTCTATTAAATTGATGAGGCAATTAATACTTATTTTATTTCTATGCATGTTGCTGTCTGACTTTTTACCACATGCACTTGTTGTTTTAAACCATCATTTGCCTAATTAAATGGAAGCAAAATAAGTTTTGTTTCTGTTTTAAAATATAATTTCTCAAACCAAATAATTAATGAGGCTGATGTTTTCAATATTTGTAGTTACCTATGTAAAAAAACAGATAGAAGAATCTCTGTGACAGTTACAAGAAGTGCATGGACCGAGAACGTGACAATAACAGATCTGGTTCTGGTGCTAATAAAACAACTTGTTGTCAATACTTTAATCAACGATACTTCTACCAACAGCAAACATGCAAATTCCATCCCCCTCAACATTGTTATCATCAGAAGTGACTTCACATGATTATAATGCTGCTTTAAATGCCTTGATGATCCCGAGCCTCAGGCAACAATAGTTCCTCGCAAGAGAAAGAAGTCACAAGAAATTGACGAGGTTGGTCAGTATTTAATAAGTATAGGTAATCACACGGAAAGGAGTGCAATTAATGATTAATACTATGAGTGATATTTGATAAATGTGCCAAAATTGCATGAGCTGCCGGAGCAAGTGCAATTTGACACATTTTTCAAATCAAATATCACCAGTAGTGTTAACCATTAATTGCACAACTTGCCTGTGTGATTGTTTATTTATTATATGCATGACAAAATCGCTTTCTTTAAAGTGGCACTAGAGCTGCAAAATGAATTCTTATTTTTTTGAATATTTAGAAAGTATCAAGTAGTTAAACAAACTCACCAACTGTGCAAATACTCATGTTACTTTACCTGTTTACTTTACTTTTTTTCAACTTAATATGTCCTCTGAGGATGAATCAGGCCCCTGTTTAGATGAAAGGTCTTCTGAAGAGAGCAATAATTGCTTTCCAGATGAGGAAATGTTGTATGGGGCTGCTTCAAATTCATTTGAAACAGAATCACACGTTTATGATACCTCAGGCAATCCTATTGCCACGAAAGAAAAACACGACAGTTATTTGCAAGTTGTGGCACACATGGAAGAGGAACTACATGAGCTTAGGTCCCAATTAACCGGAGAAAAATCCACCGTTCTTTGGTAACTTTCTTTACACTTTTACAATTATGAGGATGTTTATATTTGACAAGTATATTGCTCAGATAATCTGGATACAACTATATTTGACTTCATGGCTCACAATGACAATGTTTACATGGGTTTTAGGTGTAGTTATGGCAATTGCTCGCTGGAATTGATTGTGAAGCCAGAAGAATGTAGGTGCTGCTTTGAAATTTCTCAATGCCAAGATAAAATGTCCCAGCAGGGTTTGAGGCAGGCTGTTTAAACCCATGGGTTTCTGTCTTCCTGGTCTGAGCTACAAGACTTTTACAAAGGGGTGTAAAAACTGTACAACTTTGTACAGAAAAAGGAAGAGAACAGAAGAAGAGTAAGTATATAACTGTATAAAATGTGGTGTATGGAATGTACCCAGCAACATATCACATCCTTTCCAACCAATTATATATTTATATATTGCTAATTATTAGTTTACTGAATATGACCTCAAAGTACACAATGTGCACTACTTTATTTTTATTTGTCTAATGCTGGAGATTCACATTCCAGATGAGATTGGTTGCCCTCAGGAAATACAAAATACATGGTAATACAAAAAACTAGATGGATAGATAGATATATGGTTTAATAGATTTTACATGGCAGCCGAATTGACTGAATTGCATAAAATTAACAAAACTTACATATTACATATTACAAGCAAATTAAAAACAACACATACACAATTACATATTAATAGATGTAATAGTATTACATATTATATGACATCAGCGCAAATTCAGATATGTCCCCCACCACCACCACCACTAAAATAGAGATCAACCAAAGTTGTAAGCACAGCTAGAAAGACCCAAAAACATGCATAAAAGCAAATGGTTGACGCGAGGCAGCGGCAATGATGGTGGAAGTCATATCAGAACCCCACCAATATCCTTTAAACTACTCCTTTGACATAGAAACGACAAAAGTGTTCCTAAAACGATTTGTTTGTGTGGTCGAACAGTTAAAATGTCGCTGTCTTCTCAGATTATATGCTGAGATATTCTTGGGTGGCAGAAGATGGTGAAGTTTGTGCTCCGTATCAGATATAACTGATTGAAATAGTTTCTTACACAGTTTTTGCCGCCTGTCTCAAGGAACTTATATTCAATGTCATAAGATTGTCCGTATATGATAACCCCGGGGATATTATGGACAGCGCACACTTTTGAATGCGCTCAAGGTCATCACATAAATATGCAGGGAGAGCATGATGGAAAACAGGAGCAAAATACCCGAGAACCGGTCTAATAACAGTGCAGTAAAAATTGACAATATCACAAGCAGGGACGTTAGCACGCTTGAGCAAGATCAAGAAATACAAACGTTTATTCGCTTTCTTGATTACTTCGTTTACATGGTCAACCCATTGGAGTGAACTGGATATGATAACTCCCAACACCTTGGCACTGCTAACCAGTTTGAGTTCTTTGGAGTTGAAAAGTTTGTCTTATTAGCATATATATAACATTAGTTTACTCAATGTTGTTTTGTAACTGTTTTGTTCCAAGGGTTCTTCAGGGCAGTGTAATACATACATTGGTCAGACTTGTGTAGGATTACACAGGAAGCTCAACAAGATATCCATTAAAAGAATTCCCAAGCAAAGAATATGTAGGGTTTGAGGAAGAGGAGGAAGATTCAGATTGACTTTTTAGTAAGCTAGCTTCCTCATTACTAATTTGTTACATAGCATTTAAGCCCTGTTTACAAAGGGCAATTTTATTTGACAAATTTCATTTGATCAGATGCATTTGATCAAAAGGCTAGCATGCGTAATTTTGTTCAAATGCATTTGTGATAATGAATTTATCACAAATTTATCATCTACACTAGCAAAATATCTTTGACATATGAAATTTGTCAAATAAAATATGCTTGTGTAAAGGGGGCTTATGCGTTTTTGAAAATAATTTTGAAACAAATTATAGCGATATTACATTTATTAAACGATGTTTCAATGCTACAGCGTGCACCATTTTCAAGTTATATATAGTTATTACATATATTGTGTTGATTTTAATAATAATAATCTGGAAACATATGAGGGAAGATCACGAAGAGGATGCGTTGAGAATTGAAGGTTGCTTTTCAATTCTACGAAAATGCCAAGGAAAGTATGAGTGTCTTCTATACGAAAACTTGTATATTAAGGAACTATCGCCATCCTTGAACACTCAATCGGACTCGAGTTGTTCAAAACTTTATACTTAGTCCAATAATTAATGGGCTTTATGTTTGTTTTGTTTAGTATGTTTGTTTGTTGTTGTTTTTTATGTACATGTTAGATATTTATGAAAGACAGAAATATGTTTAATCTGTTTTATGTTTTCTTAAATGTAATTTATGTAATTTATTACATCATATAAATTTAAATTTTGCATGCTTACGCAATCATTTTGCTGTGACATGAAAGGTTTAATTAAAATCAACGCAATATATGCAATATAATAACTTGAAAATGATGCACACTGTAGCATCGAAACGTCGTTTAATAATGTAATATTGCTATCATTTGTTTCAAAATTATTTTCAAAAAAGTTTTTGATTAAAAGTTTATGCGTTTTGGATTATAAAATGCTAAAGATTGTCATTTAAATAAGCAGGTAGTGTACTTTTTCCAACCCAAATGGTTGCCACTACTGCCTGTTCAAGGCCGTCGGATTTGATTGCTCCATTATTGACTAAATCGAGCATTATGTGAAATTTATAGGAACCTTAAAATTACTGACACATGCAGTACCATCTTATAAATAGAACACTTGACTCTGTTTATGTGGACCCATCATTGGGATTGCATGATGGGTCTTAAGGCCCGAAATATTGTGTTTGGTTTGAAGAACTGGCTGTTACCTTTCCATGGTTGTATTGGTTGAGTAGCACTTCTGGTTGAGAATTACCCTTTCATTGGCTGTTTGCATTTTTTACACTGTGGTGCCTTCCTCTGTCTTACAGTTCCTTGTGACTCATTCATTTCTGTTGATGTGGTGGCTATAATGAAACAGATTGGAAACATGATATCCAGTAAGTCCAAAGCTGATATATTTACTGCATCATGTAAATAAATGTCATTCAGTAAATCGTTCAAAATAGGTCAGTCATGATGCTTTATATACTACCATACTGTTTTAGGGTTACTACTCCCCTTTTAGCATAGATAGTTTTGAAAGTGAGACAACGAAGAGACAACATCTTATACCTACTGGAAAATATATTGTATATACAGTGAAAGCCCTATAAGCGGACACCTCTCTCAATTCGATTCGTCCATATTGATTTCCGACGTATATGAACTCCGCGAGTATTTGCAGTAGAAATATGAAAATACCTCCAACTATATATTCTGAAATATTCATATAATTGTATTGTTTCTCGCTCAATTTAGAGTGAATTTGTTACCTTGAAACGATAACTGTGGTGAAATTTATGCAAATGACACATTACCAATTTTGCTGTCACATCATGTGTTTTTGTGCATGTTCAACAGCTTGTATCTTTGCTTCTTTTCAACATACAATAAAGACAAATATACTAAAAGAATCGCCATCTTGCATTCTATAGCTCGGAGCAGTCTCAGGAAATTGCAAAATAATCTATGCCTATTATGGCGATTCTTGTGGTTGGAAAGTGTTCGGCCAACTTCGGACGCCAAATTCTAGGTAAAGCATTAGAGTTTCCTGGTAAAAGACTGCAGAAATCACTTCTGGAGTGTTTTTTCCCCCTAGATACGGATTTTGATTGGCTTAGGCAGAAAAAACCTCGTATGGCAATTTTCCCAATTGAAAATGTATTGTCACATTGTAAGAATGGCATTTCTCAATTGTCAAGACGTTTCTTCACCTTATTTTGCAAACTGATAATGCTAGTAACGATGGAATGTCTTCAGACAAAGAAGAGTATCTCAACCTGGCATTGGGAGTTGTATCTGGAGTTTCAAGGCAAGTATTTGATCATTTTTAGACATTCTGTTTCAATGTTTTGATGTTGCCATGACATTGTAAATCATTTGCACTTAGTAGCATCACTAGTATGACCTAGTATGTCCTCATATCGCACTTTTTGTGTTGAATTAGTCCTTCCACACCGAAATTGACAAATACAAATGGTATTTATTATATTGTTGACGAAAATTTATGGTATTTTAGGCATAAAAAACCCTGATTCTTAGGCAAAGTAAAATGAGCCTTGAGCACATGTTTGATTGTTTGTTACATAAATAATAGACTGGTCAAGTGTATATATATCCCTGATATATCTTACTAGTTTGGCTCTTTAGTGTATTTTTATTATGATTTCAAGTGGCATCATATAAATTATGTCTATATAGAAATGTTTTTATTTGTAGTGACTAAGATATTGAATTGAATTGAATTTATTTCCAAGTATGCTTATAGTACATTACATTTCCCGTGTTATATTATTTATTTATGTTTACATATTTGGAAGAAGGACTATAATAAACCCAAAAGGCTTTTGCGAGTATATTGATCTTGTTCCTGTTTCAGAGCCTCAGGGAAGTAGCAGTTCTGATGAGTTTATTAGTGTTTATATCTGAACCACACTCCCCCCATTAGGAAAAGGTCTAAGCATAGAGGGAAGGGTAGGGGGAAACCCACTACGACCCACGGTTAAAGCTTCCTGTCTATTACCCCACTAGGCCCCATAGTGCATGAGGGATTTGGTGATCCTGACACTAGGAATATTCTCCCAGATTTTCCCCCTCACTGACATGTCGGGATCCATTTTGATCACGCTTTCACCAGAAGTATGAACTGTGAGCTTGAATTTGTTTGGCTCTTTTTTACTGAAATGCTTCAGGAAGTAGCTGCCCATACCAATACATATGCCCACATACAAATAACCCAAAAATTATCCTTGTATACTAATAAAGAAGGATCTTGGATGTCCACCAACCTTGAGGAGATGAGAGGTTGATTGCCTTTTTTACTTATGCAGGTTTGGTAAAGGTCGAAAGTAAGATTGAAA